AATTAAGAAAATATTTACAAAGAAAAGAAAATAAGTTACTAAAAAATAACCCAAAGCTCAATAAAAATTTGAACTTTCTTTCTTCAAACTTAGCTCACTCTTTTTGCCTCCTTTACGAATTGGTCCCTTGACATGAGGTTATCAACCTCCTTTAGTATATGGTTTCTTTTACCATTTTTATGAATTACCTGCTCATTGTTTTGCCCGCTCACACGAACATGGCTACAACCAATCAATGTTGACAATCCAACAATAATAGAATTGAGGCAAGCATAAATTAGCCTTCTACAAGAAGGAAAAAAAGAACACTAACTTAAAAAGAGTAAGTATATATACAATTTTAAATAAATCATGCAATCTAACGATTAAAAAGAATTGGATAAATTTGATTTAAAATGTATGAGGCAAACGAGATTTGACAAACTAGTTATTGGGGGGGGGGGGGGTTATACCTATTGAGCAAAATAGGCTAGATTTTTTAAATAAAAGTTAAATAAAAACATCATATAAATGAGCTAATATTGTGTTTGGATGAAGAATTTTACAAATTTAAGTAATTTTAAATTCTTGGTATTTGAATTATTTTAATTTCAATTTCTATCATTCTTAAAATATTTTGTTTGGATAAGTCAATTCAAATTTATCAAATTTTAAATTGTTGAGTTGAATATGATAATTTGATTCCACTATGGTAAAATTTATTTTAAAAATATTTATATGTTGAGATTTTTAAATTAAATTTTATAAAAATAAATATTAGCTAATTTTTATATATTCAGTAATCTTAAAAATTAATATTAGATAATATTTAATAATTTTAAAAATATTTTTGAATATTCAATAATTAAAAACATGAAGAGATAAGAGATAAGATAAAATATATAAGTGAAATAAGAAGGAAAAAAATGAGAATTTTCAAATTCTTACTTTTTTGGGAGAATTTGAAATTTTACTATTTCAAGGAATTTCACAAATGCTTGAATTTCAAATTCCTTATAAATTCTTCATCCAAACAAGGTATTTCACCTCAAAGAATTTGAAATTCTTCAAATAAATGAATTACTCCTTTTAAATTTTCTATCCAAACACACTATAAAGCAAATGTTATACACACTTCTCATTTCTAATAGATATGTCCTATATCAGTTTTTTTTTGTCAAAAATTTCTTTAGAAACCCTTTTAATTTATTTTCATTTTAAAGTGAATTATATTTCAAAATTTTTTTATTCATCTTCTTTTTCTTCACTCCCTTTCTTTTGTTACTTTATCTTTCTCTTTTTGTCAAAATATTCATTGACTTATCTTTATTATTTTTTAAACTCAAAAGTCTTAATTTCAATAAGTAAATCCTAATTATACACTCTCTTTAATATTGCATACATAAAATACTATTGGGAAAAATCCAAGTCCCACATCGACTAGAGATTAGGCAATTGAATTGTATAAAAGTGGAAAGCAACCCTCACCTTACAAGCCGATTTTGTAGGGTTGAGTTAGGCTTAATCCACTATTCTAACATTGTATCAGTGCCATTTAGATCCACTTTAAAAATGGGCCACCCACCATTGATGCATGTCTCATAGGCATGAGGGGGTGTATTGGAAAAAATCCAAGTCCCGCCAATCCTAGATCATTAAAAAGGGCCACCCACCATTGATGCATGTCTCATAGGCATGAGGGGGTGTATTGGAAAAAATCCAAGTCCCGCCAATCCTAGATCATTAAAAAGGGCCACCCACCATTGATGCATGTCTCATAGGCATGAGGGGGTGTATTGGAAAAAATCCAAGTCCCGCCAATCCTAGATCATTAAAAAGGGCCACCCACCATTGATGCATGTCTCATAGGCATGAGGGGGTGTATTGGAAAAAATCCAAGTCCCGCCAATCCTAGATCATTAAAAAGGGCCACCCACCATTGATGCATGTCTCATAGGCATGAGGGGGTGTATTGGAAAAAATCCAAGTCCCGCCAATCCTAGATCATTAAAAAGGGCCACCCACCATTGATGCATGTCTCATAGGCATGAGGGGGTGTATTGGAAAAAATCCAAGTCCCGCCAATCCTAGATCATTAAAAAGGGCCACCCACCATTGATGCATGTCTCATAGGCATGAGGGGGTGTATTGGAAAAAATCCAAGTCCCGCCAATCCTAGATCATTAAAAAGGGCCACCCACCATTGATGCATGTCTCATAGGCATGAGGGGGTGTATTGGAAAAAATCCAAGTCCCGCCAATCCTAGATCATTAAAAAGGGCCACCCACCATTGATGCATGTCTCATAGGCATGAGGGGGTGTATTGGAAAAAATCCAAGTCCCGCCAATCCTAGATCATTAAAAAGGGCCACCCACCATTGATGCATGTCTCATAGGCATGAGGGGGTGTATTGGAAAAAATCCAAGTCCCGCCAATCCTAGATCATTAAAAAGGGCCACCCACCATTGATGCATGTCTCATAGGCATGAGGGGGTGTATTGGAAAAAATCCAAGTCCCGCCAATCCTAGATCATTAAAAAGGGCCACCCACCATTGATGCATGTCTCATAGGCATGAGGGGGTGTATTGGAAAAAATCCAAGTCCCGCCAATCCTAGATCATTAAAAAGGGCCACCCACCATTGATGCATGTCTCATAGGCATGAGGGGGTGTATTGGAAAAAATCCAAGTCCCACATCGACTAGAGATTAGGCAATTGAATTGTATAAAAGTGGAAAGCAACCCTCACCTTACAAGCCGATTTTGTAGGGTTGAGTTAGGCTTAATCCACTATTCTAACATTGTATATTATCTTTGTCATGTTCGATATATATTGATTTTGCAATTAGGGAAGATTGAAATTAAGAATATGGAGGAAAAGAATGCACGCGAGTGAACATATATGTTGCAATTCAAAGAAAAAAAATGTATCTTATCGTATGGTTTAATTTTTTTTATTTTTTATTTTTATTTTTTTTTTATTTTTACAATTCCAATGACATGATGAGGTGCCAAAGCCATGAATTTGCTTTAGTAGAGAGGAGAATTAAGTTTTCAATGAGAATAAAGACTTGAATAAAGAGAGTGATTACATCATGTCAAAGAAAATGTGAATGGTATACATTGGTCTTAGTTTACATGTAGTAAAATTTCATAAAAAGTGATTTGGCTTTCCAATGTTTGGTATTACAAAATTTAATTTCCAAAATCATAACGATGTAACATTTACTTTTCCGGAATAAAAGTTTCTTTTCGTATCAAATTGGTTAATTAAAATAAATACAACACAACTATTCGTATCAAAATGTACACATGTTAAAATTACAATTATTTGATAATTTAAAGATTTGTAAAAGGACACAGAGAATATGAAGCAACCATCTCAAAATTATCTTTTCCTTATTACCTTAGATTATGGATAAAGAGGAAAATGTCACTTAATTTGACCTTTTTTTACACCAACTTAATTTGATTTTTTAAAACGTGTCATTTACAGTTTTTTTTTGGCACTAGTATTATTATTATTATTATTTTTGTGTGTGTGTGAGGATTTTTACCATTCCGACTTATTTGAAATGGCATGAAAATTATTCATACTTTATTAAACAAAAATTATCTAAATATTAATTAGCCATACCTAATATTAAAATTCTAAAGATAATTAAGAATCAATAGTTTACACTCAAAATTTTCACGTGTGTCTAATTTTCAACCTTCCTTGCTAATTTTCTAAACAAAACGTAACGGGACATACAAAATATCTAGTGCCGTTTTGACTTTGCCTTTAATTATTTACACATATTTCCCTTTTATTAAAGGTAAATTTGCTTTTAACAAGAAAAAAGTCAAAATCACCGAGTTATTTAATCTTCAAAATGTGTTAGCAAAATTGTACTTGTCATTAACTTGTAATAAGTTAAAATCACGATACACTGCAAATTAAATTAATATATTTACTAATAGTAAGTATACATTTATTTTATCCCATTTATTTATATATAAAATCAATATCTATGAGGTAAGAGGAATTGAATTAAGGACCATTAGCTCTTTAGAGTCTCCTGTTGACTAGTAATTTTATTGCAACTACCAGGTATTTTTAAAATCGAATAAAATATAAGAAATGTAAAATAAAAATATTAATATTTTTAAAAAAAGATATATAATTGATGTAAATTAAAAATATAAACAAAGACATGTAAAAATAATTAAAATAATTTAAAGTTATGAGGATAAATTAAAAACGATGTGCCATTTTGAAGGGGAAAAAATACAAAGAGATTTAACTATTGTAATCAAATATATGAGGTTTAATTTGGTTGAGCTTGTAGTGAGAGATTAGGATAATATGTATAAAATTATAGGATCAAATCATGTTGTTGTTATTGTAAATCATACTTTAAAAAAGGATAACTTTTTAATTATCAGTTTTTCTTCTTTTACCAAATTAAAATTAGTTGTTTTATTTGGTTTTGATTTTGTTTAATTATATTAGTTTGACCTTATTATATAATTACTAACACTCCAAACTATAACAAATTAAGTAAATATATATTTTTTTTTCTCTTAAAGATAAAGCTACGAGACACAATTTAGGTTATGTTGTTTATTTTATCGTTATCAACAACAAAAAAAAATAATATAAAGAGTTTAATAGTTACACACTCAATTAATAATAATTTAATATTTACTATATATATTTTAGTTATTTATAATAAAAGTCAACAAATGTATTATATATAAATATAATAACTCGTAATTCGATGACACATAATCTATTTTATCTAATATATATTTACTACAAAAAATGATACTTATAATGACATACAAAAATGTTACCATAGATATAATATATGTAAATATAAATTAATTTGACATATAATTACATACAATTTTAGTGTTGATTTTGAATGAGATTTAACAACATATATTATATCTCATTATAATTTATATTTGTACTTTTTAATAATATAATAACGTAAAGTGGATTTCAGAACACAGTCGTTAAAGATGCAAACATCTATAGCATTTCTAATTTCCATCGGTTTACTGTTTACATGATGCAATATATTTGGATTAATTTTTGATGCATATAGAGCTTCTTATTTTTATTTATTTTTACATGTTATAAATGTACATGTATCCTTAAATACGTCACTGCTGTTTTGTGAATATGCAGTAGGTATATAGTTACATGAATATTGGATCTACGTTGAGATTTTGTTCTCTAGTCAGGCTGGAATGATATCATGCGAAATTGGTAAAATTAAAGTTAGCAGGCTGGAGTAGACAAAAAATCAATAAATGGAAGACTATTGTTCTTGTTCTTGTGTCCCACAGCATCTTGACTCACTTCCTCATCATCTCTTATATTAATTTTGGCATTGTCTGTCACTTCACTTTTATTGGAATCGGTATTTACTTGAAGAAAATCATAGAACTCTACTGATTGACTCCTCTCTGCTGTAATATTATCAAACAAACATTTTCATTATTAACTCATCACCCAAATGCTGTTGTACTTTGTTCAATGCATGATTGGTGCAACACACAAAATTATATGTAAAGAATAAAATGTCATATAATGACAAGTTATATATCTTAAACTTTGTCTTAATTTGTGAGTATAGTGTTTGTCTAATATAATAACAAGTTTGTTCAGTGTACAATTTAATTAGTTTTCAACTTATTTTTATAAACTATTTCAACTATTTTATAAGTTATAAACTACTATTTTTTTTTCTTTCTTAGTTTTTTATTTCCCTAATTAACTTGAAATACGTTTTTAGGTATTTTCATATTTATCATCTGATATTATCAAATATTTAATTCAATTAACTGGTATTAATGTTAGCTTAGAACATTTTCAACCCAAAATCTCAATATTTCACTTTTTACACATGTTAAATGGATTTCATTGTTAATTATCAATATTTTTTACAATGTAAGAAATTTTTCTTTCCAATTTAGCAGCTTAAACTTTTTAATAGATCTCATAAATAACTTCACATGCTTAATTATATTTTATTACATTAATTTTTATTAATCTTTTTATAATATTATCGGATCAAAACAAGTATAAGAATATTGTGTGTTTATTTAACATTTGGACAAAAGAACAACATAGATATTTTTAAAAAAATAAATAATCAAATCAAATTGAATCTGGAGGGAAAAGATAATTTATTCTTAATTTTACCACTCCTTGTAATAATACTTGTAACTGCTTAATTTTTATGAGACAAAATCTATGTATATATTAGTGAGACTAAACTTGACTACTTTTCCCTGCAGATAGTGTAACATTATAGTTTATTTTATAATGAAATTAGTTATTGAATGAAGTTATAGAAAGCATGAAATGTATGTATGTACCTGGAGGCAGTGTGGAAGCAGAAGTTGGATGATGAAAGTAAAACTTGTTGGGAAATTGCAAATGGTTATGTGGGTGGTGGTGGCTACTATACTTTTCATAATACTTGTCAACAAAAGAAGGGATAGTCTCAATATTTGGAGGAAAAAGGGGTTGTTTTGCATTATAAATTTTAGACCTCTCTCTGCGAATCCTTGCCATCATCACATGCCAATGGTTTTTGACAGCGTTATCAGTTCTTCCTGGGAAGTGTCTTGCGATCACAGCCCATCTGTTACCATGAATCCTGTGGGAAGCTAGAAGACGCTCTT